CCAGCATGGCCATRCCAGAATGACTGAACCAAGGTAGGGTAACGTCTCTGTGTCTCTGGTAACTTTTTACCCTTACATGCTCCTCAAACATGCTTCCTTTGCTGGGTAAGTGAGATGTCCTTACTGAGGCATCTGAGATGTTCGCTGATGTTTTTCACTTGGGTGGATGAGCTGTCAAAAACAGCCTCTAAGCCATTTTTGTCATTTCCTAAAGGTCTCAGAGATTAGTCACATAGGACAGATTTTTATTCTCTTGTGAGATAAATAGAGATCCTGCTAGTATCATATCCACTGCAGTTACAGCAATGTAATGCTGACAAGTTTTTCTGTGTGCCTTGCAGTGCAGGCTGGCTTTGATGGCCTTTGGCTTAGAATCACTGTTTTGTGTGAAATTYTGCTCCTTCTGAGGCAGAAGAGCTCATGAGGTTTGCGAAGCTCGCAGGAGTTGAGTGGACTTGAACTGTTCATTGCCCCCTTCTCTTAGCCTGGAGAGTTAAGAAGGGGCAGAGGAGAGTAGATCACATAATCTTCTAATCAGCTGAAATCTTTCTTGTGCCAAATAAGTGACTGATGGTTTAATTGTGTCACAGAAGTACATAGCCCATACTGGTTACTATGAAAAAAATCAACTATATCCCAGCAAAACCAGTACACAGTGACTAACAAACTTTATTTTATTTTCTTTTGTAAAAGCCCGGATAATACTGGAAATCTAAAAATTGTTTAGGTTGAAAATTTACTTAGGATGGAATMTCAGCAGGGATTAAAATACCTGTAAAATCCTGTACAGTATTACTGAGGGATGGATAACATTGCTTTCATAGCTTTCTTGCTAAATGTAAAGGTTAGATCAAGTGTACTGTGACAACTTCTGTATTATGAATGCTGTAAAACTACTCCTTGCCACAAGGTATGGGATTCAGTACTGTTTTGTGTTATCTTCATTYGACCAAATTTAGTGCAATTACAATGCTTATTTCCTGTAAAATCACAGATATCTGAATAAGGGACCTTAATTATCATCAGAATGAGGTCATAAAGCACAAAAGCATTGATAGCAGAGCAAATTATAAAACTACATCCAGTAGAATAAACTTATTCTCCAGAATACATAGAAACCAGCAATTAATGTGAATAAGAATGCAGAAGCAATGGTTGAGTTTCAGGACTGGCTACTAAAACTTAGGTGTTTTCATTTTGTGACCCTAAGTGTGTGACATATCCATAATTACTCTATTTAAGGGCTCTATTTTTGAAACAGAAGGAAGCCAAAGTGGAATTTTATTTGTATGCCTGGTTGTAACAGGAGGAGAGGTGTGAGAGGTAGATGGAATAAGTTTCAGTCTATTTAAGAAAACTCAAATCAATTACTTTAATRGTGCAAACATTTGTTGGTTAGTCATTATCAAATTATAGTTAAAAACAGGAACTATAATGAATGCCAAAAGAMATCTGAGAAGGAAGGAAGATAATTTTTGAAACAGTAAGGAGTAAAGGAAAATTTGACAATCATGACCACTGCATCATTTGCAAAAATTACTTCCTGTGCATTTATAATTGTTTTATTATTACATTAATAATGTTTGAATAGAATTAGTCTCACTTTCTGTTATAAAAGTCTGTCTTAATCTGGCTTGTTGCAAGAGAGTGGCTTTTTTTTGGCAATGGTTAAAACAAAACCAACTGAAGAGGTAAAAAACTTCCTTCTTTGAGTTGGGTTTTACTATCATAAAGAGTGATTTCCAYTCTTGAGTTCTTTGTTATGAGCCCAGCTCCTGAGTTGTGTCACAAACAACCGTAAGTCTTTCCAGAGCTGCTTTCAGAACATGATGTGGTTTAAACAGTCTTGCTTTAAGAGGCAAATGAATTACTTGAAGTGGATTCCTAGCTTGTATCTGAATAGACATATAATTTCAGGTTATAGTTTATRTGTTGCTGATAATTACAAAGCATAAGTGAAAAGTGATTATTAGTGGCTTGTTATTTACACTGCAGAGTTTTAGTATGTTGTGTGAAAAAGGGATAAAAAACAAGCTGGTCATGCAATAATTGAGCTATGTAACAAGAGACCTGGGTGGGGAGCAAAGGTACGAATGACCATTAATTCAATACTGAAATTAGATACTAAACCTTTGAATGCTGTTTGGTTTCTTCAGGTGGAATAACTTCTAAGTGAATGATTTCTCTGCTGCAACTTATTTGTGTTCCAAAGATGATCAGATAAGAGAAAAAAAATAAAGTGATGAAATAATTAAGTGATGTATAAACAAATCTCGTTATGTGGAATGAATGCTGGTAGATTGGCCAATCATGTTCTCCGACTCAATCATTTATTGATTCTATTATTTATCTACAGATTTAAAAATTGGTAATTTGTCTTTGACAAATTGGTAATTTGACAAAGATAACTGGTCTTATTTATCCTAGTTTTTAGGAAGGTTTACTTTGGARCTTTTACCCAGTCTGTGTCAGCAACAACTCAGAGCAAAGATAGGTCCTGTGTAAAGGAAAATTTAGGATGRCTGTAAGGCTGCTCTACTACATCCATTGCAGTGCTCTGATTTTTATTTACTCCATGTCTTGTTTCAAGGAGTCTCTGCAAGATCTTTCATTTTGTTTTTAAAGCCTAAAACATGTTGTCCCCTGTCTTTCTTTTGAATTGAGGGCTCCAATTTGCTTTCTCCCAGCACTGTGGGACTGCATCTGTGATAGAGATCCTTTTTTCTCCAAGSCAGGGTCTGCAGTACTTCCTCAACCACAGGTTTGGTGTGTTTCAGTGATTTTCATGATTTGTGAATTCCTTGCTTCCTGTCTCCCCATTTCAGGACTAAAGCCAGTTGGTTCCCTTGCTTCTATTTTTGGGGCTTTTTTCTTCTTATGCCACTGAATTCTACTGGTTTTGTGCTCTGCTGTCCCTGTCATTACCACCTCTCAGTCTTCCCCTGTGCCACATGTCTCCCCTTCTCCCTCATTGTATTAGTTTTCACTCTTTCAGTGTGTGAAGTGGCTGGTGGTACAGACTTAATACAGATTTCCAGGGAAGAGGGTATCTTCTGGGATTATGAGATACAGACTTGGTATGGAAAAAAAATTACGACCTCAAAGCAAAATGCAGGATATCTGCTATTTCAGTAGGTTAACTGTGGGCAAGGACCTGTTGTGGACCAACAAAGTGCATAATAATTGATTTTGTATCATAGACAATCCCTTATCTCTTCTGCAGAATGAATAGGAGAATAGTAATTTCCTGAAGCTTCCCTAGTAAGGCCAAACAATCTGTTACACACCAAATTTGTTCTGAATTCCTTAGTGGCGCTGCATTGGGAAGTCTGGGATGGGTGGAAAGGAGGGAACAGAGCAGTCTGCCACCTGGGGGCCKCATTGGGAAGCAAAAGAGCCCAAGGTCTGGAAAAAACAGCCCATCAAGTAACAAGTTGTCAACAGGAAGCTGGGAGGGAGGTGCGGATTTCTGCCAGCAGGAAGTATGGTGTTGCTGGTGATTCTCATGGAAAGTTCAGAGCTCGCCTCTGAGGGGGGAAATACAGGGGTGGTTATTGTTCTGTGAAAGACAAACAGGTGTGACAGCARCTTAAGCTGCTGCAGAGCACCAGCAGAAAGCCTTGTTATCCTGTTACTCCCTCTGTTGAGCCATCGAAATTGGGTAGGAGAAAGGTTTAGTTTCTCAAGGTGTAATAAAAAACTTCACCATTTTACTGTTCCCCTTAACAATCTTAGAGCAGTTGTTAGTACGATGTGTAAAACATATTGCTTGGCGGTTTACAAAGTGCAGTCAGCTCTGTGGTGGCTGCTTCAAGTAACCAAAGCTGTATAGTGACCTTTCAAAACTCATGGAGTTACAACAGTGMCGTTTCAGAGATTTATATATGTTGCAATGGGCTCTAAAACATGAAACTGACTGGCTTGAAATACTTGGGGTGGTTTGTATTAGTCAGGTAAAAAGCTCTCTTGGGGGGTAGGTACCACAGCCTACGTTGACTTTTGACTGGGAACTATGTTTTATGGAGCCAGCAAYTGTCATGCGAAGGATTCACTGAAAAGTCAAAACAGACATGCTGTAAAATGCTCAAAATTTATTAATCATAATTGCTTTTTTGTTTCATAAGGAACAAAAATACAACAATATTCAAAAACAAAATAAAAGAAAATATACCATACCCAGACAACATGACTGAGACTAAGAAATGGGATAACATTAATTCTGAAAGAAATGACCCAATATATCGTTTTCCAAAAAAAGTAATAAATAGCAATGGTTCAACTTCTTAAAGCTTCTTAGGAAAGAATTTACAATTAATATTATTATTATTAATATTATTATACTTCTGTTAAAAAAAATCCTTCATATGCCTCTGTTGGCAAATATATATATATATATTTCTTCTGTAAACAGTTAACCACATAACAAAACAAAATATTTATATTTGCATACAGCTACTATGCTGATGATGTTATGTAAACAAAAAGTAGTGTGCAGCAGCTTCTCATAACAAGATTTTTTCCTTTTCCTCACAAAAACAGATAGGGAAATATGTTCATCATAAATTGTTCAAAATAGTGAAATTTATAGTTTTGAAAAGACATGGCTTTCTGCACTCTTAAGTTTTCCTCAACACAGAAGGAAACATAGAAACAGAGGGGTACAGTTTTCCTTAGGTTTTGTCTTTTGATTTTTCTCGGTGAACTGGAATGAAAATGTTATCCAGCATTTCTCAAAAAACAAACAAACAGAAAATGTCAAGATGACTTTATGCTGTACCTCTCAAGGTATAAAAGAAAAGAGGTAAAAACCAATGGGAGATATATCGATAATGAAAGCTGAAATTCTGTAGACAGACATATTGGGGTTATATGCAGAAAATGTCATCTGTTCATCCAAAATTTTAGCTGCTCTTGACACTTTTGGTTTTTTGAAGTTTTTTTGGTTTTTTTTTTCTTTTAGTCTTATGCTGCAGCCCTTGTTTGAGGACTTCTTTCTAGTCCTAGTTTTTAACATTTGCTTGTTCCTGAGAGGTCTTTATCTGCTGTGTCTGCTGCTGTTGGGTGTTGTCTTGGGTAATGCACTCAGCACCCACACAGCTGCATTTCTCCACGTAGGTGTAGGAGTGATCAAAGGAGGTTCCATCACTGCACGTCAGAGTCACCTTTCTTTTGCTAGTCTTGATTTCCTGACAGCACGAGCATTTGTGCACCATTGTGTTTGTCATTTGAGAATACCTGATTGAAAAAGCAATGAAAGAGAGAGATTCAGAATTTATGTGAGAARTGTCACTGCCCCTCCCACCCGTTACAAAACATAACCAGAAGTTGTGTGCTTGCATGTGGGGCTATTGCTTAATATTACCATTCTTAGAGTATTGTGGTGAAATACAGGTGAATTGCTCCTCACTGTAAAAATTGATGACTCTAAGTCTTCATTAAAGCACAGAAAAAGGAAAGGAATTAATCCAGACCACATAGTGAGCCAGCCCAGTGAGAGAATAATGAGAAACAAATAACCTCAGTTTTAAATGTACAAATCAATATTCGTGTCTATTTTGGCACTGAATAGGCTGTTAGACACTGTGAATCTCCAGGTAATCAAGCTAGTACAACATCATGTTAATTAACACATTGGAAACAGTTGATGACTGGGTGAATGTTGGACACATCAGAAAAAACACTTGTGATTTGCTGACATAAACTGGTGTGAAGAGTAGAAGACAAGAGGTCACAGTTATCTTCMATGGCACTTACCGTGAGTAAGCATCACAGCTGCCTTCACAGTATGTTATTTCAACAGGTGCAGGAGATACACAGCCATTGTAGTTGATGAYAGTAGTCATGTTGTGCTTCATACAAACTGAGATCATCACAAAGCAAAGGAAAAGAGGTTAAAATATATGTGCATATGAAAAGATAACTGTGTATGATAGCTTGTAACTGAAAACTAAGGATGGAGCTGAAACAGGAAATTAAGTCACAGYGCATTTTTCTTTTAATTGCTAAGAGCCAAATGAAGACTCTTGCTGTTTGTATTATCAGCACATGAAGCTTTCCCTTTTTCTTATGCAACTCGGTGCAGGATGCAGAAATAAAGAGCAGTACTATGGCAGCTGCTCAATGCACACCCATCTCCCAGAACTGGCTTCAGTTTCCTCTTTAAACAGAATGTATCTATGGAAATTGGAGAATAGTCATAGTCCTGACCCTCTCACAAAAAAAAGCCAGCATTTAACAGTACAGGATGGGAAAGTTCACCAGCTGTTTCCCAAAGGCCTAAAAATGCATACAGGAAATGTTTGGTTCCTTTCTTTTCCACCTGTTTCCTTTCTCACCCCAGTGAGGCAGTGAACCCAAACTTGGTCAGTTTATCTCTTCTGTCTATGCACCCATCATGCAAAATGGGCATATATACCTAATAAGGCACATATAATCAATACTTCTAAGAAAATTATCATTACTTACGTTTTGGTATTCTTCGGCACACTAAACAGCAGCCATCCTCAGATAACCTGACATCATCCTTAAGTGGGAAAACATAAAAAGATAACTCAGGTTTCATATCTGCATRCTAAAACAGACTTTCCCTGTTTCCTAATTTTCTCTGGCACCAGAGAATGTACTTTTTTTTGTATTGACATGGGATCTAATCTCAAGCAAGGCTAAATATTAAAGGCGCCTAACTACTTTAAATCAGAAAGACTTATTTGAAAGTTGAAATGGAGGAAAACCCTCAGTTCAAAGATATAATTTCAGCAAGCAATAAGGCTTGTAGCACATGTAGGTCAAAATATTGTGACCAAAGTCAGTACAGGTGAAGGATTATATCAGACAGGATAACACAGTAAATTAAATAACTGACTTGACAGGGACAGATTTTTGCTTCTAGGTGACTTGACTTTTAGGAATCCAAAAAATTATGCTATATCCTTTGCTCTAATTTCTGATTCTCAGTGAGGGTTGATATATCACTCATTTTAWTTTTGAGTTGCTTTTCTGAGATAAAATTTGACTGGGACTTGGTTCAGAGAAGATAAAAGGAGAGCTACTTTGTGCAGGGTGCTTCTGTTAATTATTTTCTTCAGACACCATGGTCCTTTTATGACTGGTGTTAGGCACTGCAACCTTTCCAAATATGAGAACTGGTAAAAGAGTACTTACTTGATCACACTCATCAGGGTTAAAGGCAGGACAGCTCTTCTCTTTGACAACTTGAATGAACTGGTCAGCATGTTTTTCACATGTGTAAACAGTRCAGTTATCACCAGGTGGGTTCCAGTATTCTCCTTCCTGAAAACAGTCAAAATTAAAGCAAATTAATATCTTTTTATATAAAAATGAAACAAAAAAAMSCCCAATGTCTTATTGTTGCTGTGTACAGTATGATTATTCTGAGCAATTTCCTTGAATTTCAGCTGTTATTTGCCATATCATACTGCCATTAAGTGTTTTTTGTTAACCAAGTGAAGCGGCTCTATTTTTATCTGCATATAGATGTGCTTTTTGTGTGAGTAGGGTAAGTATGTGGACTCATTTAGAAAGAATAATTTGTGTTTCAGCAGTTTTGCATTGGAATTTATGGATGTGTCAAAATGYCTCCATAGATAAAATTATCCTTTGAGCAAAATTACAATTTCTGAACTAGAGGCAAACAAAAGCCCATTACTTTCCCCTATGTATTTTCCTATGTTGATTTCTGAAAGCCATTTTTCAGTATCACATCTAAGACTTCCAGAGGTCTTGGAACTGTCATTTTGTAGTGTAAGGTATTGTTTAAGTTGTGTGGAGACAGTCCAGTCCCCGCCTGAGTAAGCATTTGTCTAATAAGACAAAAGATGGAGGAAATAAATGTGACAAATACGAGGAGAGGAACGAATGAAAAGACGAGTACAGTTTCCCAAAAGAGAACAAAACCAATTACATACATACATTACATACATACATACATTACATACATACAAAACTAATTACATACATGGAGCACGTGTGTAATGTTGTCTCCCACAGTCACTACACAGGCCGTGGCCTTGCACGTGCCACAGCACTGCCCGGGTTCCACCATGTATTGGTAGCCCTGTTTGGAAAGAAATGGAGACAATGGCATTGAGTGGGGTCGCTGACCTTAGCTGTGGCGATTGGGGCTGAGGGGGTGGGAATTTCTGGCTCACCAGCGGGCAGTATGTGTCACAGATCACGGGCTCACAYGCGACCGTGGCATGAGGCTGTGACGGAGAGAGCTCGGAGCAGCTGCATTCCTCACAGGGACCTGATGGAACGGCAGCTCCAGGCTGGGAGAAGTTGGAAAAACACGTTATTACTCAGTAAAAGCAAGTTGGGTGTGTGTGTCGCAGACAATACAAAGATGAGCTATGTATCGGGTAAGTTATCCATTAATATGGTTTTGGTTGTTTTATTTAAGCTGAGTTTCTGGATTGGCAATAATGATTTTGGAATCAAATTCTGCTAATGTATAAAGGAGAGCAGAAAATGCTTTTCCTTTTACAGAGGGTGTTGATGTGTTAACCTCAGTTCAGTAATGAATAATGTTTTATCTCAGGCCTTCCTACAAAGTATGGACCACGATAAGTGTCTCAAAAACACTGCGCTGTGAACTACATGAAGGTGTATTTTTATAATGAGTTGCTCTGTATACTTACTGCATAGTAGGTTTCATTGACTACACAGCCCTGTCCTGTAAAGAAGGAAGAAAGAYGTGTAAGTTTTAAGAGGCAGAGGTGCATGAAAAAGCTTCTCTTTTGTGGCTTCGTAGGCCTGTTTTGTGGGCCCGTGGCGGCGGCCTCAAAACACTCATTCATGACAAGGCCCCATATGGTAATGCAGATAATTTGTATCTCTCTTATAAGGTTTTTGTATTCATAAACTTAGAAAAATATAGCAGTACATAGCCCATGAAGAGGGTGCACAGTACTTACTGCATTCAAAGACAGGACAGCAGTTTCCAGCCTGCACTACTGTGATTATTTCCTGTCCCTCCAAGCACTGGGGTGTGACATCAGGGCAGAGGCTTGTGTTGCAGTCTGTGTCATGTAAGGGAATATAGAAAATAATGAGCTCAGAATTTTTAAATTAAAGTAATTTTGTTTTACATGAACTTCTGAAGTTTTCCCATGGGGTAAATGTGGTGGTGTTTATATAAGATAGTACAAAGACTACTTCAGTCTATGTGCCCAGGTGTTTTCAGCATCGATGGGCTTTACCATCACCTTTGTAAAACAAAACACTGAGAAGAACAGAGTGGTAATTGCAAAGAGAAATTTGTACCAGTGGGAAATCTGATGATTCTCAGTGGTTCTGGCACTGTCTTAACTTAAAAAAAAAAAAAAATAGTCCTGAATATTTTAAAGTTGCTTAAGAGAATTTTCGTAATACTGATCTTTGAAAACGAAAATATTTTGAATAGTTTTTCAGTATTTTTTTCAGAGTTGCAGTATTAAAGGCTTTCAATGTTAAATTATAAAAGATGTTCAGTTACTTTTCTGTGTCTAACTATATAAAATCTTTTAATCTTTCAATGTATCTTCAGGCATTTAGTATGTGCTCTGCAAGAAAGCTCTAAAAAGCAGGATGAGGGAGAAAAGCATTATGACTTCAATGCAAAGTATTAAAGAATGAGAAGTGATTGCTGTAGTTTCCTAAAATTAATATAGTATATTCCCCATGATAAAGAACTAAGACAGTACTCACAGCACTCARTCCTAGTACAGCATGGATCTTCTGGTATCTGTATCTGAACAGGCATGTAACCTGGTTCTTCACAAAATACTTGCTGTTCCAGAGGACATTCATGTTTTTTACATTTCACCTTAAGAGTATTTTTGTCACAAACACATTCCTGGCAATTTTTTGTCCATGTTTCTCCTGGCTAAATAAAAAAGAAAAACACAGACAAAGGAAAAAAAAATTAAATACAAATCAAACCAAAATTATTTTATTTGCTTTAGTAGACATATTCATGGATATAGTGATAAATGATTTTATTTGCTTTTTCATACTTTTAGATTTTGTAAGAGATACTCTAACTGCTTATTACAGGAAAATACTGGAGGCCACTAATGGTTCTGGGTTCACAAAACTATTACTTTGTATTTGCTAGTAGTGTTAGTATGAGGGTAATAGGCGTTCTAAAGTAGAAGTGATTGAGCGTTGCATGCATTTTTGAATAAGTGATCATATGTCATACTCTTTTACATTAGGTTGCTGCTGAGGAACTAAGAATGCAGTCTATGAACATGATAAGCAACAGTTAAACTTTGTTATCCATTTTGCTTAATTTCTAAAAATATTAGTGAGCCAAATTTGTGGAAATAAAATAAGCATATATACCTAATTTCCACAACTACCATCGATCTCTCTCTCTTTTTTAAATTTTGATTTTTCTGTATATGAGCGTATTGAAGGAGTATTTCATCACTTACTGTTAAATTTCTTAGGGGTGCTTTAGCACTCATTTTTAAGGCTAAAAGTGAACAAACATTTGTGACAAAGCTTTGGTTTACTGGAACACTATCCTCTTGTTTCACTTGTCTGTGCTCATTAAGCCACACCTATTGTGATACTCACCCATCTGGACATTCCGTTTGGTTCCCTGCAAACTGGAAAGATAAACAAAAAACAAACAAACAAATGAATGGGTATTTGCACCACTGTAAACTGACATAAAGGAGTACAGATGGGCAATTTAAAATAAAACTRCTATGAAGATAAAGCTAGCAAGAAAATGAATATGTGGACTAGTTTTTTTTAACTGTAGAGTTCTACCACCCTGATGGGTCTCAAGTAAGTCAGGATGATGTGGAAAGAAGGTAATATTGATTATTACTCAGTTTTTAGATGGGGACACTTAAAGAGGYTGATTTGCAGTGATCTGACCATGTAGAAGTTGACAATAGAACTCAGGCCTCCTGACTAACAATCCCGATCTCTATTTATTCCCCAAACTAGCTACAGATGACTTACGACATTCAGAGACACAGATGTTGCTGTCTGCACGCAAAAGTGTCATTCCTTCAGGACAGAAACAGCCTTCAGTTACTCCATAGCCAGGGTGCTCATAGCTGGAATGGGAAAAATGTAGGTCCTTGAGTACACTACTTTTGTGRTGAGGCAAGAGACAGAGCAGCATATGTCAGATACAAGAGAGACAAAAATTTGTCACTTTCTGAAGAGCAATGGGAAGCACATATTCATAGACYTGATTGTTATTTATAAATCTTGAATAAATTAGTGAAATTCGCAACACATTTCATTATGAAATAACTCATATTTCTGAGGGAAGTAAATAGATAGTAATAGAAAAAAAGAAGATATAAGCAGTTGTTTCAGAAAGCTTTTTTTGTTGTTTTTCTATACCTTTGGTCACAGGTAACAGGATTAATGGGCCCACATGGCTTGTATACCAAGCTTGATGGACAGCTGAATGCTGTATGGAAGAAGACACAAAAAGATTTTAAGTTGRCAGTAGATGCATTATTTCAGCAAAAATGACTACAGCTTTGCCTTCATCAGTGGCTTCTGTGAGAAAGGAACCCACTGGATTTTTATARAGAGTAAGCAAATGTTAGATATAAGACATGTTTAATGAATAAAACACTAATTTTTAGTATTTATCACACACATTCTGAGTCCTGCAATACTTACAGCATGTATTGTTGGTCTTTCCTCTCCAGTCAATGCAGACACCTCTAGCAGCACACTCAGTAGCATATATCTCCAAACTGGAGCACTGCATGAATTCATCATCTATGCGACATCCATCAAAAACACAGCCTTGGAAAAATGGTTGTGGTGGTATCACTTTATGACATTCTGCAAAAATCCTGCAGACAGTAAAGAAAGCAAGCCCCTTCTGTGTTAATGAGCAATCATATAAAGTCTGTTCCTGTCAGACAGCACTTTCCAGTTAATAGCATGTGACTCTGCTTTAGAAAGGAAAGTATTATGAGAAACAAACCCTAGGAATGGTAAATAAACTAGGAGATAGACTCAGGAAAGATTAGGAAATCTGAAGTTCCTCTTTTCTCCCGTAAAGAAGTTAATGGTCATAGTATTTCTGTATGTGTACACAGCTTGTTAGCAGTTTGACATCAGAAATTTAGTGTAAAAGGCTACTGCACCAGACTGAGAAAGAAGGGATGAAAAAAAGTAGAGATAGAATATTCACGCATAAAATAGCTYCAAACTTACTAGATACTACAGAAAGCATATGTATATGAGGGTATTTATGAGTAACTCCTCTGAAAAAAGCTTTCATCAGCCTATACAGGTATAGGAAATACTTCAGGAAACAGGTCTTTCTGCTTTTGGAACTTCATGTCTTAGGTAAAATGTAGAAAGAATGAAGGACATTTCTTGGCTATTTGCATCTGCTCTCTTCACCCATTTGGTAACTGGGTTCTCTAGGATTTGAACTGAAGACCCACATCRAATTTGGAATTCAGTCTTTGTCTTAATAGCGTAACTATGAGTTAATGATCATGCTCTGGAAGTATTGATTTTAGTGTTTGCTGCATCCCTGATTTTCTGACTTTACCTCTCCTTGCTCAGTTATCTTTGGCAGGCAAGTCATTAAGGCAGAGGAGTATCTTTTGCAAAGGCCTTTCACTRTATATATTCTGTCATTGAGCTGATATTTTCAGCTATTATCACAYGCTAGGGCTATAGCAGTTACTTTTCTTGTAAGATAATGAGACAGTTTTGTCTAGAAAGAATGAATTTGTTTTCTTACTCGCTCAAGATAAGCTTGCAGAGCTCAGGTGTTTGACAGTGAGGCTTTGGCGGAGGTGTGGTTACAACTGGTATTATTGGTATTCCATGGCATGTCTTGTTGTTGTCAACAATCCAGTGATGAGCCATTTGGGGACAGGAGGAAATTATCTTACCACTCGGTAAGCGGCATTCATCTTCTACATTATTTGTACATGTTCCTGTAAGAGAAAAGCTGATTAAGTCTCATAAACCACATCAGAGATGCACAATTCATTCCTGTGCTGATATGTTTAGATGTGATGTGCTCATGAAATGCATCTGTTATCTTGCTTCATAAAAAGTGCTTTCTCTAGTTATATGAACTTCAAGTTATGGAAAACCAAACAAATGTAAAACTCCAGCCCCAAAGAAACAAACGGGCTGCAGAAATATTCAGCTTTTGACATCCTACAGAAGTTGAAGAGCATTATGGTACTCATTTCCATTTATTTCTGTTTAAAAATTCCTGTCAATTGTGAGACTACATAGCCAGAGTGGGTGTGCATAATAAGGTAGAAGTGGGGAAAGAGGACCTCCTCCAATATGTGTATCCTTCTTACCACACTGTCCTTCGGTGTTGTTGCCAAATTTGCTGTATGGGAGTTTCACAGAGAAAATCAGACCACTAAAGGTGATGATAGCACCAAGTTCTTCTATTTCAACAATCATATTGATGCCAAGAGTGGAGAAAGAAATTCCATCTTTTTTGAAGCCTGGTTTGACAATCTTGTTGTTGAAGTACATCTGAATGCAGGGTTAAAAAAAAAAMCAAACAAAAAATACCACTCAGAATAAGAACTGCTTCTGCCTGATKGTTTTAAATAATATATTTTYTAATCTTTATCATTCTGCATAACTCCATATTGTTGTGCATCACATCCAATGCCCATTGGCATCTCAATGACAGCATATATTTGCATTAATATCTCGGCTTGTATTGTTACATTGCAAAAATGTGATAATAATCTAAGTGGCCACTGCCTACTGTGTTTGTGCTGATTATATACTAATACACAGTATTCTATGCATATAAATCAAAGTATTTTCTTTGTATCTCTCATGATTATGTGTATTGGAAACACTTTTTATATGAAAATGAGTGTTAGCTTTTTTTTAGCTACARAAACATCCCTGCAATTATTATGTAATAACTTTGCTAAATAATTGCATCATCCCTATATTACATAGTAATTGGCATTGGAAGAGTTATCTGAATTCAAAATGTAGTCAGAAGTCCTTAGTGCCAGTTTTATGTAGTGATCATGTTTATTTGTTATTGTTTTCAATTTGTAGCTAGTATCTTAAATGAGCTAATGAAGGTAAACATTTTCCTAATAGTTTGTTGTCAGAAGGTGTTCTGCAACTCTCACTAAATTGGGCTAAACCATGAGTTAAAATTGTCGGTTACTGTTTTCTTTCACTGGGAGTTATTGGAAACAACATGCCTTTCTGACTGAGAATTTGGCATAACATTGCAAGGTGAAAGTGCCTAACCTTTTTCAAACCTTTCTCCCTTTCTGTAGAGTCTCTAATAAATTAATAGATTTTTCAGTGTAAGAGGGGACTGAGTTTTCATTTTCATTGGTTTGCCAGCACTACTTTGTGTGATGAAGGTGAGGTGAYAGTCTAAGTCACCCCTTTTCTTCAGCTATCTCTTCCTTCTCAGTAGGAAATTGAAGGGGTAATCATGTCAGGGCTGTTTGGTGCCTGAAGTTCCCTATGCAGAGCAAGCAGTCCCTAGTCATCCAGCAGATAAGGGATATATATCCATCGTCCCCCTGGGAGGAGAATCCTGCTTGCAACTTACATTTATGTTTCTTCAAAATGTGTTTGTTTACATAAGTGAATGGCACAATGTACCAGTTTTCATGAAATACGTATTTTGTTGTTAGTATCCAGTGCAGTCTTTTGCCATAATGATACCCTCTGCCCTGATCACCCCCATGATGTGATATTCTAACAGACTATCTCAGAACAGCATCAGTAAAGCTTACAGACCCTATTTCTTTTCTGCAAAAATAGAAAAAAAAGTATTTTACCACATTGGTCATCACGCCATTCATGGGTTCACGAGTCAGCACTATTTCTGCAGATTTGTAGAAAATTAGAATGGATTTAGGGCAGGAGAGTCCATCTTTTGCATCACAGTAATAATTGTCAATGTAAACACGGAAGTTGTCATATTTAGGGACAATCTGTTTCACCAGGACATAAGTGCAGTTTTCAAGGAAGGTGTAATAGGTTCCATCAAAAGTAATGTAATGAGGATCACCCCATCCACTACACACACCTGGAAGAGAAAATATTTGGAAGATTAGGATGAAATTTTATGTAGAAGAAAATTTAAAAACGGAAGATACTGCAATTCATAGAGCAACCCTAGGAAATGAAAATACCCATATAATCTGTGTAAAGCTTGGCTTTTTCTTAAAAAAATGTTACTCCTTAATCTACTGGTGCTTACATTGACACTCATATCGGTAACAGCAGCCATTTTCATCGGGTACCAGAATTGGTGGATATTTGTTTGCACAGGTAATTTCCTTTACAGGTGGGCAGTATGTTGGTACTACGGCTATATCGTTGTCTCCATTACAGATGACTTCKGTACAGTTGGATAATTTGAATCTTTCTCCAGGCTGCAAAATGAAGAAAACATTGTCACTAAACTCTGCAAACAGGTAAAACTTTTACTTCTTCTTTCAGATTTATGGTATAATGTTTCCTGTAATGGTGGTGTTGGAAAGGAAATCTGTATGTACTACCACTCTTCAATTTGTGGTGTTAATGTTTTTTATTGGTGACTAGAGGTATTCAAAATTCTGACCATGTTATGTGGGATAGACAATACTTAACTTTCTAAATCGGAAACAAAGACTAAAATGAAAATCTTCACTGATAGTAAAAAACTGTCAATATTCTACAGAATTAATCTTTTTAATGCTAAAAGGAAGTAGGAACCTTATGTGCACTTGTTTCTTGTGTATGAGAAATTCTTCTGGGGCTTTGGAGGATAAGAATTAGGTTACAGGAACTGATTTCCCTGATACTATGTATAGCGTATTTCACTGTCAGCAGAGAACATCACAATAAAAATAGGTTAAAGAACTATAGATAAAAGGAGAGGAGAAGAGAAATAGATATAAACATTCACTATATCTTAAATATTTCCATTAAAAAAATAAGATCCACAAGAAAACTCCTTCTCATATATCAGTGAGAAGACATCTTACATATGCAATACATCAAAAAGAGTTTTAAAATAAATAAAGTAACAAGAAAAGAATAACTGTAACTTCCTTTATCAGTATAGAAAGCTAAAATTCAAAGAAAGGAAAAATCAAAAATCGTATACTAAATATTGCCCATTGTTAGCAAAAAAATAGGACAATCAGCATATGTAAGGTTTAAAGCTTACACACTGTTCCAGTCTGGAACCACACAAAAAAAATTATATTATTTCAACAGTAAATAATAAAACAGAAATTACGTACTTGTAACGGGGGGTAAGTACTGGAAACACAACCATGAAAAATAGCATTTGTAGAAGTGGAAGGCAGAGGAACTGATGTTGTTACAGTAGACCACACAGAGGAAGTAGTACTTGGTGGAAGAGTGACTATGCAATCCCCAGTGTGTCGTTCAATACTGCATGTTGGACTACAGACGGCATAAAATCTACATCCTTCACTATCCATTCTGTCATAAATCAAATCACCTGAAGTAAAAAACAATGGAGAATTTTTTTTTAATGGAAAAGTAAAAAGGCAAAAAAAGAAATTCTAAAAAAAAAAAGGGATGAATAATAAAAAAAGGGTAAAAATGAGACATAAATAAAAAGGATACAAAAACAGGTAAACTAACCGGGTGAAAAAATAGCATCACCAATCTTGCAGAAACATGGTGTAGTTCTAACCAAAGGCCGAGTTGTGGAAAAAA